ACAAGCGCATGCGACCCACGGAATACGGGTTCTGCAGCCATGCTTGAAACACCGTCCGTGGCAGGTAAAAATCGCGATATAAAAAGATTGATGTTGTAATATCAGTGATTTCAGTAGCTAACATCGAACATCGATATGTAGTCCTGAATTGTTATTGAAAAGTCATCTTTTATTTTGTGCCGAGTTGTTCGTTCTGAGTGTTTAGGGCTTGCGAGCTGAAGCTTTTTTCTTTCTCTCGCTATCTTTGTCAGATGCTAAATTGCGCGGCGAAAGATTTCGTCACGCTTTCTTTGAATACTTACACAAACGGTTGTCCCAATCCTCTTGTCCAGGTTTCTAACCGGTGCTCTTCTCTTAGGCAGAACTGCCCTAAAAGACATAAGGAACATTGTTAGTTCCAGATGCCATCGTTTCGCTGGCCGACTATTTCAGGCCTCATTGTTCGTGACATGCGTTCATGTATATTATGGCGTTTCATGAGTACGCATTCCACCGTAGTTTTCCATGGCATCATTTTTTCCTCTAGTCGCTTGCTTCGTCGCGGATGTCAGCGACAAGATTGAATTTTTTGAAAATGGCATCAAAAACACCAGTCATATTTCACATCTGTGCATTAAATCAAACGTTGCCATTTCCGCTCGACGCCACTTAATCTTACTAGCCCAAAATTTCATAGTTTCGGAAGGTCATTCGTGTTAAGTGAAGCCTTCCTTCCTCACAGGTCTTGTTTGTTCATGTTTATGATATCCACAGAACTCAGGAAACTATATTTGAATTTAATAATTTTTTTGCATATATATTCCATTGATATGCTTTTCTTTTTAGCCTTTTTATACGTAATGCTGGTTTTCGGACCGGTATGCGGATTTTTGTTGGGCGGTTTGATGCTGTCGGAATTTGTTAATCCATCTACCACGCCTACAGATCTTACGTCTGATTCTTCTGCGTGGATTGGTTTATGGTGGGGCGGCTTTATAATCTGTGGTTTTCTGTACCTGTTATCTGCATTGCCTTTTTTTTGTTTTCCTCGACGTTTGTCTACAGCTAGTACTTGCGCTTCAGACTCGGATTACGGTAAAGACATTCGAAGTAAGTACATTTTTGAACCGCCGTATCTTGTACTCTTTCGTTTTGAACGAGATATTCGACGTCACATTTGTGCAGCCTATATTTTTACTGAGGGAACATCAGTCTTCATCAAGAAATATGTTCCAATGAGTTATCGCTCATAACTGCCGATGCTTGATCGGCGTAAACGTTGATAGTGTTGTTCGTCGATAGGTGGCAGACCTTTTGGTAATTCGATCGTGGAAAAGGAAAAACTTTCTAAAATAATTTTGAGTGTAAAAGAATAAAACTTATCCGACCTGCTTTAAGGCGAGCATAGCATGAGCTGGTTATCACTATCTGTGCAACTGCGTTGACTACGGAGAAGACACCAGTGTACTGGAGAATGGGGGGTTTTGTACTCTGTTCAAGAAGGGTGACTATAGGAAGTGCTCCACTTATCGCGGATTTACCTTATTGAGCCTCCCAGAAAGTCTACGCAAAAGGCATTGAAGGTGAAGTGCCTTGAAGTAGCTGACGTTAGACTCCAAGAAGAGCAGTGTGGCTTCAGATGAGGCCGAATCACCTCTGATCGGATCCTCACCCTAAGTCAGATTGTTGATAAATCATGGCGGTTCGCTTATCCCGTTTACATGTGCGTTGCTCGCTTCGATAAAGTCTATGGCTGGATCCCGTATAGACATATGAGATCTATAGCCAGTTATTACAAGCTATCTGATCACTGTACTGCAAATGCGGAGATCAGGAGAATTGAAAATGGTTTCGAGACCTTTCACTGTCAGCATTGGTCTAGATGCTGGAGAGTCAGAGCAGCAAGTATATCAGCGCATGTAATGTGGAGACTAGAAGTCTGCTGTTTGCCGACGACCTGGTTTTGTTGGTAACTTCCGAAATGAAATGGACTTCCAGCGCTCTCTGGAAAGGTTCGCATCTGAATGTAATGTGGCCGGCATGCGTGTGAACGTATCTAAGATGAAAAGCCTAATGCTTTTTCTTTTTCTTTCCCGCTGCTTTTTCAGATTAACAGAAAAACAGTGAAGATTAAGAAGTTCAATTACCTGGAGGCCGTGTTTACCGTTTATAAGAAAGTTGAGGAAGAGATCGACTGGCGGATTGTAACCAGTGGCGTTTTGCATGAACTAGCCCGACCCATTGTGGATAAAGCAGAGCTGGGTCTGAAGACTAAATTCTCGGTGTTTAAGTCGATCTTCATCCCGATGCTTACCTACGGTCATGAGTCGAGAACCATGACTGAAAATCTTAAATCTTGAGTTCAAGTGGCTGAAATTGGCTTTCTCCTACGAATTACTGGCCTCGCGCATCTCGTCATGATCCAGAGTACGGGTATGCGGGAAGCGTTGGTGTGCAGTGACTGCTTCTCCACATTGAGATTTCACCGCTGCGATGCTTTGGACACAACTTTTTATGCTTCCAGAAGGGAAAGTGAAGCAACTACTACTTGTTCAGCTGACTCGCTGATTTCCCTGAAGAGAGGAATAACCTGTTGCAGATGGCTTGAAGGATCCTGCTTCAGACTCGGGTCATTTACTGCTGAAGCTCAAACGCTTGCACGGGATCAGAAACGTTGGAAACACAATCCAACGCGTCTTCCTTAGCGCACGAAAGAATAAGCGGTCATCGAAACTGATTGATTGACTGACTGAGAGCTAAGATTTTGACTGGTCATCTACCGGTCATGAAAAATCCTCTGCAATCTGAATTTTCTGTTTACTCTTCTTGCCTCCTGCCCCAAGATCAACAACGCACCAGTAACACAATAGAAATAAATAAATAGGTGAGTGGTAATGTGGCGCTACAGTGTTCCAGTGTTTCAAATTTCATGTGCAGCGTAATCACTCGTCAGTCATATGAATCATTCCAACATTTAGTTTCGTTTTAACCACCACTTAAAATCATGGATTGTGTATATATCAATTTTAAACGGCTGAATGAGGGTAACGTTCGTCGTAATGCTATCGTTATAAGAGCACTGTTTTGTAATCTCGACACATTGTAAATCGAAATCGGAAAAGACAAAAACAGCCAATTAACAGGCGTTGTCACTGTATAGTTGCTGGCTTCATAAACAGTGCATTTCGGGCTGATGGCATCCAAGCGCGAATTAGCACCGCAACGTAAAGTTCAACAAAATTAACGGGGTGTATTAGATGGTGCCCACCTTGAAAGGATAAGCAACATTCTAACGTATATCAATATTTCCTATACTTTCAGTAGGCATTATTCTTTAGTATTCTTTAGTACGGCATTAGTTCATTGCCTCCTGACTTCTAGAAACTTAAATAGTCATTTGAGTAGGTGGTGGCTCCGCGATATTTTGCACTTTTCATTCAGTTAATCGACCAGTCAGTTAGCGGTTTATTCGTTTGTGCAGTGTGGCTATAATCAGCAGTAACCACTATCTTTCTCTTGTAACTGAGAAAGTGACATACTCAGTGAAGCAGATTAAAGTTATTAAAAAACTCTTCGGTCGTTTCTAGTCCTTGAAAATAATAGAGAATATGAAGATTTTTTGGGAAAAAACTAATATATTCATATCTTAAAAGATAACTGCATGGTATTTATGCATTTGCATTCCCAGCGAAACATTATACTCATTTTTGATTAGAGTACTGAGTAGGCATGATTTTCAGATTTTAAATGATTGAAGTTATTGCTTCAACTTCAGATATTCCCGCGTTTTTATGAATCTGACCAAATAAATCGAACCATTTTTTCTATTCTCAGTCATTGTGTCAGTATCTCGTTATGGCACTTTTACTGAAAATATGTCATAAAGCAGCATATGGAAATTAATTAGTGTTAAGCCTGCAGTGAACTTAGAAGTAGTGTAAACGTCGTGTATCACCAAACTTGAACGAGTCGCAGTCCTAAACTGCCCTAAGGAAATGTTGCACAAACGTTTGGACTTTTATTTCGCAGATCATTAGGAATGCCAGGAGTCGGGTGGATCTGCTATCGCGTTCGGCTCTGAATTTCTACCCGTTGGCTGGCATTCCTGAAGATTTGCGAGATAACTGTTTCACAGTTTGAGCCACGGTTTCAGTAAGGTATTCCGTTTTTCGTGTGTGCTTTGAAAAAGTTTAAAATTTATTCTGAATGTGTATTTACTAGCGGTGTTCAGTTAGGAGTGTTTAATGTTGATTAATTGATAAATCGGCAATTCGACTTTTTGTTTTCTTCCGTCTTCAACATTTTACTGTACCGTTTGTATAGCGGCTCATGACTACGTTTTAAAAACTACTGGAAATACATCCAATCTTTAAATTCAAGGGTGATTTGAATCAAGAAAGGTTTAAATGCAAATCATCCATGGAGTTAAAATTTTATCAACGTTATGGCCTCGTTCTGTTGATTTTTCATGTCTTGTACAGCAACTTTGAACGAGGCTAGTTTGTGAGAAGTTTTTCAAGTTTCCAACAATTAAACAGAAAAGTTCTGAATGGTAGTTGCAATAGGGACCACTTTAAAACATTTCTAACTTTCCGTGCTGCTTGCCCTTTCCCTGATTTGCAGTGGGATTGACAGTTTTCTCAGTTTCAGCGAAAGGTTATTTGTAACAGGTCAAAACATCACGCAAGTCTTCACTTCTGTACATCACACGTTTCGCTGTAGTTTCGGTGATAACGGTCATTTTTCAACTGCAGAGTGGATTCAACTCATTGAGTAGTTTCGTACCAGAGAGCGATCAAAGAGTACGTTGAGAGAAAAGGCGATTTAGTTTGTGACCGAGTCACTAGCAGCTGTACTTTGACATCTTGTTGAATTTGGTGCCCCTTCTATTCCTCAGACGCATTTGTTCACGCCACTTGTTTATTTGCGCTGTTCTAGAAATCCCAGTATCCATCGTTCATCTGTTGAGCAACGGCGTTTACATCGCTACGACGTTAGCCGCATGCATGGACCTCGGCATCGTCAGTGGCGTGACAGTATTTTTGCCCAAATACCTCGAGACGCAGTTTCGTCTATCGAAGTCGGATGCAAGCATTTTTACAGGTTTGATAAAGTCCATCGGTCATCTAAACCATCTTAACGTTCCTAAATGTTCCTTTTTTTAGGTAGCGTTGCGATTCCGGGTGCCTGCGTCGGTACGTTCATTGGCGGTTGGGTGTTGAAGAAGTACAGATTGAGCGTGAACAGTATCGCCAAGTATATTATCACCGTGAACACGGTGGCGATAATTCTTCTCGGCATATTCTTCTTCATCGGATGTGACAATCCGGATGTAGCCGGCGTCGTTGTCCCCTATGCCAGTATCATGTAGTACGTGTACCTTGCAAAATGTGCTTATATAATGTTCAAAGTTAATGAATTAATCTCTAGAATCCTTAAAGTCATCCCATGAGGTAGTGCTCATTTTATGGTCGTCTAAGGCCAAATAGTGCTGTGGCTGAAACACCGAAATATTTATTTTCTGTTGCTGACGACTGCTTTACCGTAGAGGCCTAATTACATCGAAATGAGTAGTTTGGTCCTCATCCTCATGTTCCGGGACTTCTGTTGTTCTTCGATCTTCCCACCGACGATGTCTTAAATTGAGTCCGCTGCAACATGCGGATCTCATGAGAACATTCGAGTTTTATCTGCTTATCCATTAGTTTCCCTCCCCACTTTTAATTTCATCCTGTGTCTTTTCTTACTGCTTCTGTCATTAGTGTTAGACCATAATCAGGCAAAAAATCATAAACAGCGAGAATCGTAATTTTCCAGCAGAAGAACGGCTCGTTAAGGCCACTTGTTGTCATCGGCTCTACCGTTATCTTTGGAAGAGTCGTTTCTGTTTCAATGACGATTTTAGCTAGCACTTCATAAATAAACTAGTTTCTTTGCTCTTAGCGGTGTATGATGTTAGAGACAACTCCTTTGCACTATTTGGTACTTTTCATTTAGTTTTATTTCTGAATTTAGTTCGTAACTCAGAGTTGTCGCAGCAAACTAATTGTCCTCATTGGTTTCCCTGCTGTAAGCAGACTGATGCGATTCATGTGCTGTCGGTCATGAGTCACAGCCACAAAATAACGTTGATAGCGATCCTCTGTTTAGATTGTAGATACTGTCTGGTTACCTCAGAATCAGCTTTACGTTAGAAAGCTTGCAGCGAAAAACAGACAGCGATTCTTTTGCTGTGAATCGACCAACCGCCGCAGTTTAAATTTCAAGCTGTGACTATTCATTTTCTTTGATTTATCAGAATAGCCACGTTGCCTCCGGATAACCGATGCATTTCTTGTGCTCGACCGAAAAAGGCTCAGACTTCATTACTTTCACTGTCATTTCCGCACTTCTTTTAGACTTTCTTATATCCTACAGACGCTGGGTCGAAATTTGTTTTGCTTGATGCAGAAAAGTTAAAGTTTGCTACTTTAACAAGATCACCAGAACCCAGAACATCTCGCGTTTTTAGCACAAAAAATACATATCTTTGGAAATTAAGTATCAAATATATGAACTGCAGTGAGAAGAAAAGCAAGCAAGCACAACTGTGACAGACAGCCGATTTACTGCGCAACGACAATAAGGCCAAAGAACTAGAGTTGGTTTTGAGTTCAGATTTTTGTCATCAATTCGAATCCGTACCTGAACTGCCAAATAGAGCTCCAAAAAGTATGCGGTTTAATATTTATTTAGCGATAGACGGTAGTCCTCATTCCGAGTCGTTTTGTCCATCTCATCGCTAGATTTATCGTAAGGCGTCAGGAAGTCTCACGTTCTGCTTATTACTGCCTTGCTCGCCGACCGCTTATTCAGCATTCATTACAAGTCTTAATGGTTTGGAATAATAAGCTCCACCGCATTTCATCCTCCCTACTTGCAGTCCCTTTCCGTGGTCATTACTCGCTTTTCTGGAGCTGAATGCTTTAGCAAAATTTGTGGAGAGCCATGAGATGATATTGATTACCGAAATTTTGTAAAATATTTTACCACTGCCCTGATACTGAGTTTTATAGCCAAAATTGTAAGGTAAGGTTCAGCATTTGTTGGTGAATGTAACTTAGCTAAAATATTAATTTCAAGTTTCAGTTCGAAAGTTTTATGATAGCCGTTAAGACCCTGTATGAATCTACTTGAGGATCCTGTTTTTCTTGGTCAAGTTCACCGCTTTAGCTACATCACAACTTGTAACTTTCTTCAAGCATGTGCAACAAACGAACGTTCATTGAAATTACTGTTGCTGTTTCAGTGATCATATGTGATCGTCGTTTCAGCGAAGGCCATGGCCAGAACTTTCGTCGGAATCGTCAGTATAACTTGACGGATACGTGCAACATCGACTGCCGATGTTCGCTGAAGGAAATTCATCTGGTGTGTGGGACGGACCGCGTGACGTACCTTTCGCCATGCTTCGCTGGTTGCAGAAGCTACAAGGAATCAGCGGGCGGTGCCATGCGTTCCAGCATCGTCGGTGACGTGACGTTGTTGAACCGGGTATCGTGTTTTTTGACATCGATAAACTAGGGAAGAGTTGAGGTCGATGGTGGTTTCATTTAGAACTACTCGGACTGCGATTGCATTCGTCCGTATTCCATTGGTCAGTCTGACAACTTTGAGCCATACGCCACCGACGGCCCGTGTGATTCCGGTTGCCGAATGTTGATTCCATTCCTGGTATTTTTGTTTGTGCTGACGTTAGCCGCGTCTAACAGCCAGATGCCACTACTGATGATTACGCTAAGGTAGTTTCTGATCGTTCTGTATTTTGGGCGCAGTGTACTGATTGGCTTTCGTGCTTAGGGCAGTCAAGGAGGAGGAAAAGGCGTTCGCACTGGGTATTCAGACGCTGCTCTACCGAATACTGAGTACGGTTACTATTTATGGTTCTTCCGTTGTTGAACATGCATAACCTTGCGTATCTTAGGTTACATACCGGCACCAATCCTTTATGGAGCGATGATCGACACAACGTGTCTCGTTTGGGACAGCTACTGCGGCATAAGCGGCGAGGCTTGTCTCCTGTACGACATCAAGTCGTTTCGACACAGTGTGGCGGTGGTTGCCGTTGTGCAAAAGGTCAGTGGTGTGGATTATTTTACATTGCATGCGTGTTAACTTCTCGTATTGTTCAGATCATTGGCTTTCTGTTCAGTCTACTGCTGTATTGGTGCATTAAACGGCGCTACACTCCGTTTTCGGCACCGGTCACCGTTTCTGAAATAGCGCATCACCTGGTCGATATCGAAAGTTTGAACGTACAACGTTGTGATACGGTTACTAGTCTTCGAAGCTGGGTATCGGATGACAGCCTTTACAGCCGACCGCGATCGCCGCGTCATCAAAAGACTTTGTCTTATTGAATTATTGTTGCAGAGTTCCCACAGTACCTCTAAGATGTATACACATTTGCTCGTTTGCATGCTTTAATTCTGAAATCGTGTTGCGTGCTTTTATTTTAAAGTCGCGTAAAGTTGGACGACTTTTCACCGTCAGCATTCTTCACTGCGCTTGCAGCAGAAATTTCACTTCGTTCACGTTTTTCACGCCTAGTTCTTATTTCGTCTCATTATTTTGTTGTCAACACGGGTGTCTTACATCATGCAAGTGCAGTGTCTTCAACATCTGCAGTTACGCAATTCAAATGTTAAGTTAGCTTTATTATTGCTAGTGTGTTTAACTGTTGTTGACAACTGCATGACAACGCTGAAAGTTTACTGCGCCAAAAATAAACGACTTGAACATAACCAGCGTTTAGGCAGTTAGAAGACAAACTGTTATTTTTCGGGGCTGTTTTCAAAAGCTGCTAGTAACAACAAATGTAAAATAGCAAAATTGGTCACTGGACGAACGGCAGCTGGCTTAACTTGGTTATGGGCGTACCACAGTGTTGAATGAGCAAGCTCGACTTTCTTACGCTGTCTACCGAATTTCAGCTATCTGTATCTTCTTTTAATCTAGCTTATAAGAAGCAAGTTTTTATAAGGTAGACAGCATGGTGTACGGGGTTCACTACATTCTTGAGGGGTTAAAACAGACGGTTGTTGCCAATTATTTCCTTCTGGTTGATAGTCGAATCTCCTTTCTCTAGACGTTTGTTTCTATTACAATGAAACATATCAGTCCGTGATCCATTACTAACTTAGCAATTCTTGGTTTAGAAACGTTCTTGCTATGTAAAGAAAATACTTTTCCCCAGGTTATCTTGCAACGAAATTCGTTACCTTATTCGTTGTCCGCTCTAATGTGAACGCCGAAGAAACATTTTTGCACAAAATGGGTACTTCAATTAAATGGAAATTCATGTAACCTATTTTGCAAATCGTTCCTCTGTTCGCCATATTCAAAACCTCAATATTACCTCATATATAATGATGATGCTTTCGTTTTGTATGATAGTAAACAATCATTTTCGGCTGCTATTAAAAGTGGTTTAATAAGAATGATCCTAATAGCTAACCTCAGATCGCCTTACTTAATATTATATACAACACGGAGTGAAATAGGCCCTTCTTTGCCAGTATGCACGAATCCGCAGTTACCAGTTTACCAGTTACTTTAATACACTTTTGCCCTGCAGTCTGGTTCATGGACATCATCACATGCATGCGTCATAGCTCTTTAAAATAACAGATGGCTGATGTCTGCGATGTAGTAAATTAAGCTTCTATTGTAAACATGTTTTCAAAACGGAAAACAACATGCAAAACATTTTATATCCCACAGAAACTACAAATCTGTTCTGCACACGTTTTCAAGGAATTTTAGTAATGGCGTTTGTGGTTTCGCGGAGTTGCATGACGCATCACATCATTGTACCAACCATGACACTATATGTAATAAATTTTTGTACTGTATTTTGAGGAGAATACCACTTTATGCTGATAATATGCTTTAATGCGAATAAACTTCTCACCCTTTCTGTTCTAGTTTAAGTTTCTTATGTTCCAGGGGTAGGTGAAAAATTACGAGGTTCATTAAAAACGTTTATTGTGTTATATAAGGTGTATTACCACCACTAAAGTACGATCAACAGAAATGTTTCTATCGAACTGCTTGTAGCAACGGAGAACGCATCCACACTGAGAAAACGTAATCATTTAAGCGAGCCACGACTCCAGTGTTTAAACACCTGCAACGGCAAATGCACCTTGCGGTCACTGAACAATGTTTCAGGAGCTGGTATTCCTTATGTGTTCCACAAAGAGGTCTTCTTTTATTATACTAGTTACGACGTCCACACCGGTGTGGTGACAGTCAATAACTGAAACACCTGCATTATTGAAGGACTGTCCTACTTAATGCGCTGTAGCGCTGCTCGAAATGCGTTGCAAGATAGAAACTGCACAAACTCTTTCTTGCAACAGAGTCTGACTCAGCGACAGAAAAGTTTAACTTAATAACCGTCCTTTTGCACACTGTAGCAAAAAAATGAAACAAAATTTAACTTTAAGACAAAATGTAACAGAGTAAACTTCATGAACTGATAAACTTCAAAAATGATCAAGCTCAAATAAAACCAACAAACAATAATTTTCACCAGCACCACGGTCAGTATACAGTATTCACGAAAGGCATCCGAAGACTCATTAAAGTTAAACACTTTCATCGAGTGAAATGTTTATCATCTGAGCTTTAGCACCACTTGAAATGATTCTAAATTGAGCGTCTATATACTCGACGTACTGTGTTCCGCATTCTGAGGAGGCGCACATCTAGACTCTTTTAACTCGCTGATTGCTCGCTGAAAGCGTTTAATGTGGCCCACTTTTGAGACACCCATGTCCTAAAAAACCGAAATTGCCGTATCTGCATTTCAAAAACCACAACAAAATGCATGCATTCGAGAAACGTGTACCTAGACGAAATCCTTCCAAGTACAATGATAATCTCGGGTGATGAGAATGCTTATGATATTTCTGCTCTAAATTCTTTCAGCATCTTACTGTTCTCTTGAAATGCCATCTTGATATACTGGGAGGCTGCGCGTATCTCAGCGACCTTGTAGACTTTGCTAAGAGAAGCATCGAAACTTGCTACTGGCGGAATACACCACGATCGACTGCGTGATCGGCGAAAATCGGATCACAAGCATTTCCCACTCCGAAACTATGACTGATAGAGAAAACTAACGTCGAAGTTGCAGCATCATCCATCGCACGGCTTAAAAAAAAGAATTCGTGCAGACATTACGCAAAGGGTTTTATTCAGAGAGCATTCTGTAGCCTCGAACTCTTGTGCATAAGCGACACCATACGAGGATGCGTAAGGCGCTCAGTGAATCTGCTACTGTTCGCGGCAACAACTCGGTTCAGCACAAAAAATAACAGGATTCCACGTAGCCCTAGACTGAACAAGGAAAATCAGTGTAGTGTGCATTAACGCTGGAAACAGGCAAGTCTGCGTGGCATCTGATTGTCATGAACACGCTACCAGCTGGACATAGCTGACATTTCCTCTGTCGAGTGACAGTCAAAACCTCTTCGACCTCGACAGTGCGCGAGAACTTCTCCGCTACGCAAGTGATCAGACCAAATCAACACAATAAGCCTAAGCCTGACTAAACTGGTCCGTGAAGGACTACAGATTGTGTAACTAAAAAGAATTTACGGAGACAAGGTTCAGATAAAGGGAGCTCATGATGGTTCCGATGCATGCGAATGGAGGTGATCTAAGATCATATTGCAAACCTTTCGCGAGGGGAGTGAATGAGGTCTACAAAGGTAATGCAGTTGTTTGATGCAATCACCACAACCATTCCCTTGCATTTGTATGTATCCAGGTTCAACGCAGGCCTTCAACAACTTCAATATTTAAGTTCTGGCCGCAAAGAGCAGGTAACGACAAAAGTGCAATATTACAGGGGTACAGTACTGCGACGTGAGAGCACATTCTTCAACCAATACAGTAGCAACAAAACTCTATCACTAATTTCAAACTGGTTGGCTAAACAGGGTTCTTTATGCCCTTGGCGAAAAGTACATTCTGATTACATGCCAGGATGGAAGGTGTGGAAACCATCCTACGTACCGTTGTGTGCTTGCTGAGATCATACCCTCGAACAGTTTAAAAAACAGAGCATCTCTATATATGTTCTCCGCTGCACCGCCATACTGACGCAAGCTGAGGCAAACTAAAATACTGATTTTTGCGAAAATGGATATTCTCTTCTCAACCCAAAGATTGGACAGGCTACTAAAAGAAATGTGAAGGCAAAAGGTATTCGCCTGTTTCATTCTACCTGGTTAGTACTATTGCATGGATGACAGATTCGAAGTACCTAAGCTGATCACTGCCTGTCTCTGACACTTCGCTTCCCCTGTACTTGCGGACCTGCTGTGTCAGATGAGTTGCTCACAACTTATGACTTCAAAGTGCTAAGGACGAGACCGGATATCGCAGCTTATTCTCATATGAAAATCGACGGCGACAAAACCTGCTTTTCTTACAACTTGATACAACAACATCAGCTGTGTAATTCAGTTTAACCAGATATCCTACCGCATATGAAAAAAGTAGATAACATCGAATGCAAGTCTGCATGGATTTCGATACGATGTGAAATCGACAACCAGATATGAAAGTGCCCTACAAGATAAAACGGCTGTTGGCTAGAATAATATCAAATCACATAACAACTGTTATAGAAACCTCTAAAGACGAGCGTGAGTCTGCTCTATGGAGTAAATGAGTTCAAGATTTGCACGTACCACGTAGCCGAGGTATGTTAAAGAGGCATCTTAAGCAGGTAAAATGGTGGGAAACACTACCAGTTTGACGGAAAGATCGCTACTTCAGCGGGAAACTGCTATTTATAATGGTAATACCTTCTGAACAAACGCCCTGGCGTATTAACGCCGACTTACAAAGACCGGAACATTTTTCAAGAAAGGAGAAATGAATACGTTTCTCTATATCGTTCGCGCGTACCACACAAATTTGTAATCGATTATTATCCACCTTAGATTCGCCCTACTCCATTAAAGTCAAAATGCCATTTACAGTTTAAAAGTAACTGAAAGCGTACACAAACCTTCAAATCTCGTCTCTGGAGGAGCAACAGTTCCTTGCCGGTGATGTCATGCATCGCAAACTTCGGCTGATATTCGGACAATCCAATTGTTTCCAACCAACAAGAAATGTCGTCGTCCTTCCATTCACTGACATCCAGCGGCGACGCAACAGACACTTTCTGGCTGCCGCCGCTTTTACTGTTGAAGTGCATCTTCCAATTTGAGAAAAACGAAAATTTCTTGTCCTTGCTTGCCAGTTTATCATGAAGCGAAAACGAAGGGCTGCATGTCTAAAGTTGAAACAGCATAAGGGATTGTGCCGATGGTCAGAGATATAACCGAAGACTTGA